GGATGTTACATTTTATCTATTCAATAATCTCTGGAATAGGATATCTGCAGGGTTTTAACTATCTCCCTGATCACATATCAGTTACGAGGGACAAACAGTAAATTAACCAGGCAAAAATTTCAATCACCAAGGAGGAGGAGACAGTGTGTGCCTTTTGTTGTCATACCACAAAGACACAATAACATTTATGTCGTCTTCTAGCAGGAATGTGTAATGAAGAAACAGCAGACAAACCCCAAAATGAGGAAGGGGAAAACTGAATTTTCCATAATGTCAGTGTTATAAGAGACAAAGGCTAACTATTCCAGATTAAAGGAGGCTAAAGAGAAATGACAACCAAATGCATTACTTCATTTCTAGACTGGACCCTGGACTAGAGGGAAAATGCTATGTAAAGGGCATTATTGAGATCATTGACAAAATGGGTGGTAAATGAGATACTGTATTGCATTAATGTTAAATTTAGTGGATTATTGTACTTGTACACATTGTACCTGTCTGGGGGTAAAGGGTGTGTGTTTGATGTGTAAAACTTATTCTCAAATAGTTCAGAATAAAAGTCACATGTAACATTCCACGTATAGAAAGAACAAGTAATTTTAACAGATGAAATTAGGATAAAGGACAGACGGATCTCCACTGTACTATTCACTTTTCTGTAACTTTGAAATTATTTCCAAATAAAAAGTTGAACCAAAAAACCCAGTGTCTTTACCATGGCCTACAAGGCACCTGTCATCACCCCTAGCCAGCCTGTCCAGTCTTAACTTGACCACTCTTATCATGGCCAGCATACTCCGCTCCATCAACATGGCTGCCGTTCAGTTTCCCCAACATACCAAGTTCCTGCCCACCTTTGGGTCTTCGTGCCTGCACTTACTATTGCCTCAATATGGAATTCTCTTCCCCCAACTCAGTTCTCAGGGGTACAATAATTATCATTTCTCAAAGTGGCCTTTGACCACCCACTCCAACCATTAGGCACCATATTCTTTCATAGCTCCCTGAACTTTTCCTTCATGATACTTATCACAGTTTGCAAGAATTCATATTTTGGGAGGATTCCTAATGTCCATCTTCTCTAGTAGCCCGAAAGCTCCCTAAAGCCAGGGATCCTGCCTGTTTCACCCCTGAATGTATCCTCCACCCCTGCTACTGGACTTGGCACACTGCTGGGCACTTAGGAGCCAGTTGATTAAGTTCCACCCTCCAGGTTTACTCCCAAATTGTTGGCAGCTCTCACAGAACACTCTACGGTCCGCCTCTAGCTCCAGGAATGGATTCATGAGGCTTTGTCTAGGAAGGCTTCTTGGCTTCTCGATTGCTACACCAGTACTTGAAACTAAGAGGCCATGGTAAGGAGGAAGGGAGACTCAGGAGGAAACTTATGTTAAATAGGAATACTATTGGGAGAGAAAGAAAGAGAGAGAGAGAGAGAGAGAGGTCACAGAAGGCAAGAGAGGAGGCCAGTTAGGTGCTCAACTCCATACATTTGTGTTTCCTTTTTCCTTGTTCAAGCTCGGCATCTGGCAGCTCGTGAGTTGAGGTGGCCTGGCGGGTGCTAAGGGCTTGGACTCTTGTCTGAATCTTGACTCAACAACAAATAGGCTGCATGACCTTGGGCAATGGTCTTAACTTTCCCAGACTCCAAGCCCCTGTCTGCAAAATGGGAGTACTGCTAGTATTTACTTTACGGGGCTGCTGTCAGGATTACCTGAGCTCATCTCTGGAAAGCCCTTTGATCGTGTTTGGTCTATAGTCTAGGGAGGAATGAACATCGTAGGTGCACGCACAGCAGGAGCAGGATACACCGGTTCCAGCTAATAGGATTGTTTTCTAGGTTTAGGCAATAACAGGGCTTCAGACAATAGTCAAAGAGCCCCCTCACCACTCCCTATTCCACCACGCCCCCTGCCCCTGATTCAATCCTTATTAAACAAACCTATAGTGTGCAGGCTCCATCTAACACAGTCCTTTCTCCAAGCATCTTTTGAAAATCATCTTTTCCACTGTCCCCCAAGTGTGCCCCAAGTCAGACGATGCCAGAGTTCGCCTACTTGATTGCAGCTAAACCCTGTTTTCCAGGTAACCATGGTGACACCTCTTCCTCAACACCGCTACCTTCTGTGGGGATCAGTAAGTATTCCCAGGCCCTTTACTTGGAGATAGCTCTAATGTCTGCCAAGGAGCTTCTGACCATCCTATCTCTGAAGGAAAGACAAACATGTGGACACCACTTCACAGCTTGGAAAGCAACTCCACAACACGACCTCCCTTTCATCCTCACAATGGCCCTGTGAGGTAGATACAGCAGATAATAACTATACTGGCCCACGTTTATCCAGCATTTACACTGTGTGAAGCATTTACGTATGTGCTCTCATTTAAACTCACCCAAATCCTGTGAAGTGGGCTCCGTTTTTCCATTTTACAGAGGAGAAAAATGGGGTTCTGAGTGTTTAGCACTTGCCTCAAATCAAAGAGGTAGTAAGTAAATGAATTTAAACCTCAGCCCATCTGACTCTAAAGCCACACTTTTAACCTTTCTACAATACCGCCTCACAAAACACGCATTATCATTTCCAGGCAGCATTCTACTCATTAAATTGAAACTCAGAGAGTTAAAGTGACTTCCCCAAAGTCTCACAGCCAGGAACTGGGAGAGCTGAGATCCACAATTGGATCTTCTGGCTCTGAGGCCCCTGAAAGCAGGAAGTATCAGTGACTGGGTCTGATGATATCCTCAGTAATTATTTCTGTAACAGACTTGCCTTGCCAATCCTGTTCAGCCCAGAATAGTATATCTGGGCAGGAAGTCCTTCCTGGTGTTTTCCGGGAAATTTATGTTTTTCCGAATCCCAACAAAAATCAGTCAAGAGATTGGGAAAACAGGAAAAAGTGTTAAAACTCTCTTGTGAGAATTCGTGCTTAACAATAAATACAGAGGCATTCCTGGTTTGAAGGAATCCACTGACATGAAGCAGAAAGCAAGAGAAGGAAATGCTGATAAACGGCGTCCCAGGTTAAGGGAGACATGTTGGGAACTTGGGTTAGAAGCACTAAATAGGAGAAAAGTGGTTCTGATCATTCTTTTTCATAGCCGTTGCCATATTACAAGTGTATCTGTGGCCCTGTCTGCTGTAAACAGTCATTCTCACAAATAGAATATTAATCTGTTTACATGCATCATGTATCTCATGCAAATCCTAGGAATGATGTTCCAAGAAGCAAGTTTTGGAAACAGGTCCTCAAATTGGCAATTTCAACACCTGCTTCTGTGTAATACAGTTATCTTGCTGAAGATTTAAACATTTTGTTATTCAAATACTACCCAGTTGTGTTGGGTAGTTGGTATTTTCTGGTTTTTGAATATTTGCTGTAGCCTACAGTTCTTTGTAACTACTCTTATTAAAAATATACGCAAAGTTATGAAAATACAGAATAACATGATTTCAGGAATTCCCAAGAATTCCAATTTTTCACTTCCAAATCCTGAAGATTAATATCTGTTGGGAAATCGGAAACCTTAGCCCAGGGGAACTGCATGAACTTCCCAAGCAGTTCAGTGGGATGGCAAACTATGGAGTGGCCATCTTTTGGCTTCCAGGAAGGCTCTGCCCAGGAGCAGGTCCTGGACTAGAGCTTCCTTGGCCAACATCCCTCTAAAGGCAGAGGTCTTAGAAGAGGTTACTTCAGGATCCATGGGCAGAGCCTGAAGCATTGGCCTTAGCGTGAAAAATCTGGAGTCTCAAGTTTCATCTCAATCATTGGTATAAATGTTAATTTCATTCCAGAGAGTATCTGCTCATTTTAGCATAAAAAGTGTTTTATTTAATTACCATGAGAAAAAAATGGATGCTCCATAAATGGATGCCCTGTCAAACCTGCACCCTTAACTCTTGTGCCAGCAGAAGTGGTGCAGCAAGGCCGCCTGTGGAAGCAGGCGGGCAGACCTGGGTCTGTATGCTGGTCCTGCCACATACTGGCTGTGTGCCTTTGGGCAGGTCCCTTAACCTCTCTGAGACTTAGTTTCTCCATCTGTAAAATGCTGATAATGAGAACACCAGTGTCACTGGGATATTGTGAGGATTAAATGTGATAATCACTGTAAATCACAATGCCTGGCACAGAGTAAGCTCTCAATAAACGCGAGACATTATTCCCTAATATGACAGGCCCAGCAGTGGAGTTGGGAGAGAAGAGCTTGGTGAAAGCCCTTGGAACCACTCACAGGGCCCATGGGCTCAGGGCCTTCTCCAGGTGGGGATTTTCCAGGGCTCTGGGCCCACCCCCCTGGCCCAGGACGCCTTTCCGCAGGCTGTAAGGCGGGCACCAGGGCAGAAAGGCCTCTGTCCCATGTGGGTTCCCAGGAGACTGGCGAGGTTGGCACTGGCTAGGAGCTCTTGAGGCATGTCCTCTGGCGCTTGAGGTAACCTTGCCGCAGGTTTGGCATCCGTGGGCCTGCCGGTGGACGGGGCTGGGGAGGTGGGGAGGTGGAGTGAAGGTGGGGGAAGTGGGGTTTGGGGTAGGGGTGGGGATAGGCCTTGGGGTAGATGGGGGTACGGTGGCGGGCGGAGGGGGTTTTAGGGTCTCGGCGCCAGCGTGGGCCTCGCGGGGCCTGGCCGGGTGTTGCGGGAGGCCGGAGGCCGGCGGACACAGGGTGGAGGCGCTGGTGCCAGAGGAGGTGGGCACTGCGCCCCCGGCGCCCACCCCGCACCCCAGCGCGGCCCGGGCCTCTGGCGGCAAAGTGTCCTCAGGTGCTGGGTGTGGTCTGAGTTGTGCCCAAGCCCGCTTGACACTTGAGGTGCCGGTGGGCTCGCTCACTGTGCGAGGGTCATTGGCGAGCAAGATGGGTGCTGTGACCTTAGGTTTGGGGCAGGCTAGGGCGGCTCGCCGCCGAAGGTCCCGCGTTGGCTGTAGGGCCGGGAGGCTCTTTCCACCCCCGGGGCACGGGGCGGCCAAGAGAGACCCAAAGGCCTCGCCTGGCCTGCGGAGCCGGCTCACCTCCCCTTCCCCTGGGGGATCGTCCTGGGTGCCCTCGGGGCCTTGCTTCCTCCCCCGGGAGCTCTGGTGTCTGGCAGCACCGTGGAACTGTGCCTGGCGTTTGTCCGGAGGCCTCTCCTGGGAAGGAGCCTCCTGAGGGGCTCGGTCTTCAGACCTTTCTCGTGGAGGGCTCTTCTGGTCATTCTCACTCCCGAATCCTGCAGGAGGAAAACAAGAATCTGGGTAGTGTTTTCTCCTCCCTCTACCCAAGACTAGGAAAACCCTGGCTTGGAATCTTAAACGGGGCAACCTGGTGGAAAATCTTTGCAAATGACAAAGTTGTGTGTTTCTGACGGCAGGTGGAGGTTGAGGCAGGGCCTTGTGGGAACTGGGCAGGTGAAATCTGACAGAGCTGGGCAGCTCTACAATTAGTTGTGGTGTGATTTTAGGCAAGTGTCATAACGTCTTGTGTCTGTTTGTTCCGCTGTAAGGTGGGGATAGTGGTAAAGGCAGCCTCAAAGGACTGTCAGTGTGATCAGGGGGTCTACAGACCATCAGGATGGCAGGGCACAGTAGTGATATGTTAAATCATTGATCAGATGTAAACTTGTGCCTTAAACAAAAATGTTTCCAACTCTGTCACTACCGGGTGAGGTCCAGCACCAACCCCCCCCCCCACCCCCCGCCCACTATCGTGGATATCCCTAACACCCAGATATTGGTGCCTTATATTATTTACCATTAAAATAACCGGAGTCCTTGGGGGTAGCTGATTCCATTTCTTAGACAAGAAAAATCAGAATGGGGCTCCCAGCATCCTGTTGATGCCAGATAACAAGGATATTTTCAAGGATGTCAGGGGTAGTGTTACAAAGACAAATATGCTTTTAGTGAATGGACTACTATTGTCAAAGCTGTAAGTGTTTGAGCACCTAAAATATATAACAATCATTATGCTTCAGGGAAATGTCTGAGAAAGGCTGTGAGTCCCTAAACTACTCAAAAGTATTAAGTTAACACAAAATCTTCAAAAAGGTAGTTATTTGTACTATAAGTACACTATACTATAGGTAGTTGTACTACAAAGGTGTGAGAATAGAGATGTAGAATTTTGATGATTGTTATAAATAGGAGAGTGTGAATGTGGTATTTTGTTACTTGCATTATTCCTCTACTTCTTTTCTTTTCTCTCTCCCTCTCTCTCTTTTTAGAGAGAGCGAGCACATTGGGTAGAGGGAGGAGGAGAGAGAAAGAATCTTCAGCAGGCTCCACGCCCAGTGCAGAACCCGATGTGGGGCTTGATCTCACGACAATGAGATCATGACTTGAGCTGAAATCAAGAGTTGGACGCTTAACTGAGTGAGCCACCCAGGTACCCCTATTCCTCTACTCCTATTTATAAGGCATAAATATGAACTCATTTCTATCTGTGCAAGGAGGGAAGGATAGATCCAGGGAACTGTGAGCCCAGTGACCCTGGGAAAAGCAGGATTACCATGACTGAACAGCACTGATAAATACATGTAGTAGCCAGGTAGAAGGAGATGTCAGCACTGTTCTGAGATGATGATGTACCCATTTGTTGATGAGAAATAAATTTATTTGTTACCTCATCTCCTAAGGAAATAGTTCTCAACCTGAGGAGCTCTAAAAAATATCAAGCTATAGGTCCCATCACAAAAGATCCCCAGATTCTATAATAAATAAGGGATTAATATTCAGAACAAAGAACTCTCACAAATTAACAACAATAAAAGTAACAAATCAATTGAAAATGGGCAAAGGACTTGAACAGACATTTCTCCAAAGAATACCAAAAATGGCTAATAAGCACATGAGGATATGCTCACCATCACTATTAGAGAAATGCAAACCAGAACCACAGTGAGAAAGCCACAAAACCACAAAAATCACACTTGTTTGGATGGGTACTATAAAAAAACAACAACACAGAAAATGACAAATGTTGGTGAAGATATGAAGATTTTAAAACCCTCGTGTGCTGTTGGTGTAAAAGTAAAATGGTGCCACTGTGGAAAACAGTATGGCAGGCCCTCGAAAAAGATGCAGCAGGGACACCTAGGTGGCTCAGTTGGCCAAGTGTCCGACTCTTGATTTCGGCTCAGGTCATGATCTCACGGTGCATGAGATGGAGCCCCTCACTGGGCTCTTCGCTAACAGCTCAGTCTCATGAAGTATGAGATCATGACCTGAGCCGAAATCAAGAGTCGGATGTTTAACTGACTGAGCCCCCCAGGCAGCCCAAAAACACAATCTTAAAGAAATGTTTGAACACCTGTGTTCATAGTAGCATTATTTGCAATAGTCAAGGGATGGAAGCAACCCAGTATCAATGGATGAATGAATGGATAAATAAACATGGGATATTATATACAATGGTACCCAGACTTAAAAAGGAAGGAAATTCGACACATGCTACAACATGGACGGACCATGAATATATTATATTACATGAAATAAGCCAGTCACAAAACAACAAGTTCTGTATGATTCCACTTATAAGAGGTACCTAGAGTAGTCAAATTCAGAGTCAGAAAGTGCAGTGGTGGTGGCCAGGAGGGCTGGGGGTAAAGGGGAGAGAGGAGCTATTGTTTAATGTATACAGAGTTTCAGTTTTGCAGGATGAAAAGAATTCTGGAGATGGATGGTGGTGATGGTTTCACAAGGTGAATGTACTTAATGCTACAGAACTGTCCACTTAAAAATGGTTAAATGGTAAACTTTATGTTATGTGTATTTTATCACAACCAAAAAAAAAAAAAAAAAAAAAAAAAAAAAAAAAAAAAAAAAAAAGATTCTCAAATTCTAATGTGCAGTCAGGTTTGAGATCCTCTGTCAGGGGAAGGGCACAGACGGGTATTTGTGAAACTTTGGCCATCTTACCAATTATAAGTTAATAACGGATTTTATTAGTGCCAACAGACCAGGTCAATACATCATAATGAAAGGACAATAGCTCAGGTATTAATGGCCATACTAAAATTGAATGTACCATTTCTGAGAAAGACATCAAGGTTCAAAAATTCGTATCTGTATAAAAATCAGTTACATGTATCAGATCTTATTTGGATTCTGATTCAAACTGGAAAAATTTTATTTGGCATTTATGGGACATTTTCAAACTGAAAAATTGGAATATACTGGATAGTCAATATTAAGGAATGATTATAAAAAATTGTAGTTGTGGGATGCCTGGGTGGCTCAGTCAGTTAAGCATCCAACTCTTGATTTCAGCTCTTGTGGTTCGTGCATTAGAGCCCCACGTCAGGCTCTGCACTGACAGCCAGGAGCCTGCTTGGGATTCTCTATCTCCCTATCTCTGCCTTTCCCCCGCTCATCTTTCTTCTCTCTTTCTCTCTCTCAAAAATAAATAAATAAGCATTTAAAGAAAATTTTAGTTGTAGGGGCACCTGGGTGGCTCAGTAGATTAGGCATCAACTTCAGCTCAGGTCATTATCTCATGATTTGTGGGTCCGAGCCCCACATCAGGCTCTGCTGTCAGCACAGAGCCTGCTTGGGATCCTCTGTCCCCCTCTCTCTCTGGACCCCCTCTCAAAAATAAATAAACATTAAAAAAATTTAGTTGTAGGGGCACCTGGATGGCTCAGTTGGTTATGCGTCTGACTTCGGCTCAGGTCATGATCTTGTGGTTCACAAGTTCAAGCCCAGCGTTGGGCTCTGTGGATTCTGTGTCTCCCTCTCTCTCTGCCCCTCTCCTGCTCTCTCTTGCACACACTCTCTCTCTCTCAAAAGTAAATAAACATTTAAACAATTTTTAAAAATTAATTATAATAATGATACTGTGGCTTAAAATCCTTAATCTTGGGGTGCCTGGCTGACTCAGTAAAGCATGTGATTCTTGATATTGGGGTTGTTAAGTTTGAGCCCCATGTTGGGTGTAGAGATTACTTAAAACTAAAATCTTAAAAAAAAATAATAAAACCCTTAGTCTTTTAGAGAATCATACAGAAATAATTCAGATGACATTCTATTATGTATGAGATTTGCTTCAAAATGACAAGGGAGGAGAGTCAGTAGCCATGAGTTGATATTGTTCAAGTTGAGTAGGGGGTTCGTGGAGATTACATATACTATATTTACTTTTGTATTTGTTTGTAATTTTCCATAATATGTTTTTCTATAAAGCATGAAAAAGAAATAGAGAAGGAAGGAAGGAAGGAAGGAAGGAAGGAAGGAAGGAAGGAAGGAAAAGAAACAGAAAGAAAGAAACTTAAAAGCCACACAAGGTAACAAGAAAACTTTATACAAACAGGCCCAGGGGCTAATGATCAGCAGCTCAGTTTTCAGTCCTCAGAACTGTGCAACCGGATCCCATGTCTCTGGCCAGACCTGTAACCTAAGCTTATTCTGAGACAGTTTCCTTTTTCTTCTGGGTCTAGTAGGATTACAAAAACTCTAAGAAGGTATAAAAATAATAACTGGTAGAATTACTGAAACCCTAGAAAAGTAGAAAAATTAGAACCTCAGGAAGGTTGGAATAAGGACAAGGTGTTGGAATAAGGACAAGAGAAGGTTAAACCCATGGTTTTAGCACTTTTATAACCAGTTTTGATGGTGGGATTTTAGTAAATTCTGTAAGTACTCTATTTGTATATGCTTAAAGCATATGAGTAGTCAAAAGGATCCTCCATATTGACTTTGTATTTACAGTTAAATTATTGAACATAATTTAATTGATCAAATTTGTAACCAAAGCCTAAGGCCCTTTTGAAAAAAATGGTTTACGGGAGCGCCTGGGTGGCTCAGTCAGTTAAGCGGCTGACTTCGGCTCAGGTCATGATCTCGCAGTTTGTGAGTTCGAGCCCTGCGTCAGGCTCTGTGCTGACAGCTCAGAGCCTGGAGCCTGCTTCGGATTCTGTGTCTCCCTCTCTCTGACCCTCCCCCGTTCATGCTCTGTCTCTCTCTGTCTCAAAAATAAATAAACGTTAAATTTAAAAAAAATGGTTTTCAATTTTTTCTTTTTTGTTATATAGAGTCTAATAATTTGAGCATTAAACAGAACACAGAACGTATTCAATATTTTTCTCCAGCCCAGAAGCCTCTTAAATATGAAATCACCTACTCTGGGTTCTTACTTCACCTTAAACAAGCAGATACAGGTACAGCATTTGGCACAGGGCCTGCAGCATAGGACGATCTCAAAGCCAGTGCAGATGAGCTAATTCACTGGAAAGGG